CCTGGTCCACCCTTCCTCTACCACAGTCTCCAGGCCCTCTTCCACTCTATGGCCCTGGCCCACCATCCCTCCACCTGTTCTGCCTCCACTTCACCACCCTCCTGGACTCGTGACTTTATGTAAATGATCCGCAACCGGGGGTTGCACACTATACAAGCTGACAACAACTCTGTCACCCAACGACTCTACAAACCACGTTTTGTCACGAAAACACACACGCGAATTGGAACGGGAATGACGCAAAACAACACGTGAAACAAGAGTTGTTTATTTGAAAACGGATGTCGGGAAGAAATTGGCGCTGCAAGCTGTTTGCTCGATGAAAAATTTTGCTCCCATTTATTGTGTCCAAACTTATCTTTAAGCCATGTTGCTGCTGTTGTTTTTCTTCTGGTGACCTCAACCCATGCCTTGCTCTCTCATTGGCTGTAGCTCGTCACAACACCTGACACCACGTGATGTCGAGTCGGCCGACCGGTCCAGCTATTTGGCATGCTAGATATTTGTTTGCCGTCGGTGAGCCTCTTGGATGCGTCGTTGTGTAGTTCACACATAAAGATTGCAGAGCGCTGATCACCTGCTGATTTTCCTCCCGATCACTGGCCCGACCTGTCGGCGAGCTCGTTAACTTGGGGTTAAATCGGGCTTAAAATCCTGTAGTATGAATTTAGCATTAATCGCCTTTTTGGTAACTTCATGACTTAACTGACAACATAATAACGACATTGCATGCATGTAGTTTCATTTGCACTTCAATATGAAATTATAAGCGCGCACCACTGCATTTGGGCATCCAATTGAAGAGCACGTGTTATGAGCACAGATTAACGGCTGACGGGACAGGAAAATTAGTTTTTACTGACATACGGCCTCACAATATCTCATCTGACCGCAGTTCACTGTTGTTCTACTGAACACTACACAATTCTACACACTTCTCCAGCTCTTCCTGAGGCAGCAGCATCCACTCCAGGTCCTCCCAAAGCGGCGGCAACCGCTGCAGATTCCCCCGAGGTGGTGGCGTCGATCTCTGAACCCTCTGCCTGTCCTGTCACGGCCATGGAGGCAGTCTCTGAACTCTCTGCCTGCCATATCATGACAACAGAGGTCGTCTATGAACTCTCTGCCTGTCTTGTCACCATCAAGGAGGTCTTCTACAAAATCTCTGCCTGTCAAGTAACAACCACGGAGGTTGCTCCTGAACTCTCTGCCCATTTTGTTACAAATAAAGAGGCCATTACTCCTCTATCTGCTCCTCCTACTTCGCCTTGGTCACCCACTCTGCCTGCTCCACCCTGGTCCACCCTTCCTCTACCACAGTCTCCAGGCCCTCTTCCACTCTATGGCCCTGGCCCACCATCCCTCCACCTGTTCTGCCTCCACTTCACCACCCTCCTGGACTTTTTGTTGTTTTCTGTTTTGTTAACTGTTGTTTTGGAGCATCTGGTTTCTGCTGCCTAGGTGGGGGGACTATGTTACATGTTTCCTGTGTGTAATTTGCACTGTTTGCTGTGCTGCCTCATTTGTCTCTATGGTTACCCCTGTTAGTTTTTATAGTAATTCATTAACCACACCCCCTTCCTTGTTTGTTCCCTTCGTTACTCATTGGTCTTTCTATGGTCTCCTGTGTGTATATACGTATAGCCCTTGTTTCTCTTGTGCTTTGTCACTTGTTGAATGTAATGGTGTTGTTTTGCTCATGTTTTCTGTTCCTTGTTTTCCAGTGTTCCTCGTCTTTTGTTTAATTTGTTACTTCTGCACATAGATCCACATCCCTGCCTGCTTGCTTAACCTCCTGCATGTTACATTATTACTGAATTATGAACTTGGTGCTAGAGATCCCTGTAGTTTCTTTAAAGGTTTATTAGGCATATTATATCTTTTGAAGCTTTCCCGATGATGTCTCCCAGTAACCCCTACCCTGAGTCCTTTAAATTTAGAAAGGCTTGCACTGTTTGATGGAGTCCAAGAAGCTTCAAAATGGCTTTGTAACCCTTTCCAAACAAGTATATCTCTCAGTTTTCCTCTCTCTTTTGGTGTTTACCTGCATAGGTTTTGTGGTGAAAGAGTTCAATGTGGTGCTCTTCACATTTCATAACGGACTGATTTGCAGCAACACATCCAGCACCATCACACTGAACACTGGGGCCCCCCAAGGATGTGTGCTGAGCCCCCTCCTCTTCACTCTGCTGACCCATGACTGCACACCGTCACACAACTCCAACCTCCTTATTAAGTTTGCGGATGACATGACTGTAGTGGGTCTCATTAGCAACAGAGATGAGACAAACTACAGGAGCGAGGTGAGCCGCCTGGCAGGGTGGTGCAGTGACAACAATCTCTCTCTGAATGTGGAGAAGTCGAAAGAGATTGTTGTTGACTTCAGGAGAGTGCGCACTCAGCATGCTCCTCTGACCATCAATGGTGTGACTGCGGAGAGGGTGAGCAGCACCAAGTTCCTAGGTGTGCACATCACAGAGGATCTCTCCTGGACTGACAACACCACAGCACTGACCAAGAAAGCACAGCAGCGTCTCTACTTTCCTCCGCAAACTGAGAAGAGCCAGAGCCCTGGCCCCATCATGTGCACCTTCTACAAAGGCACAATCGAGAGCATTCTGACGAGCTGCATCACTGTGTGGTATGGCGCCTGCAACGCGTCCTGCCGCAAGACACTTCAGCGCATAGTGAGAGCAGCTGAGAAGATCATTGGTGCCTCTCTCCCCTCCCTCCAGGACATTTACAACACCCGTCTCACCCGCAAAGCCCTCTGCATTGCAGGCGATCCCACCCACCCGACACACAGCTTCTTCAGTCTGCTGCCATCAAGGAGGAGACTGCGGAGTCTCCAGGCCAGGACCAGCAGACTGAAGGACAGCTTCATCCATCAGGCTGTCAGGAAGCTGAACTCCCTCCCGACCTTGCCCCCCCTCCCCTCTTTTGCCCCACGCACCACTGAACTCTGACCCTCTGATGGACTCTCCCACTCCCCCCTCCCAAACACACACACACACACTGTCACTTTAATCAGTCTGAATAAGCTCTTTTGCACTGCAATCATTATATCTGCACTGTTGTTTACTTCACTGGTTTGCACTCTATCTGCCATGCGCCTTGTGCTGCTTTATATATTTTTTTACATTTTACCTTATTTGTATAATTGTATAGTTGTATTTTATATTTAAATCTGTATTTATGTTCTACTGTTAGTGTTATCTGTATGCACCAAGGGTCTGAGAGTAACGCAATTTAAATTCTCTGTGTGTATGTGCTGTACATGTGGAAGAATTGACAATAAAGCAGACTTGACATGACTTGACTTGATTTGTGAATTATTCTAAACATGCTACTGGGTTTTTCACAAGATACTGCAGTGCCAAGCTTTTTGTCCTCCAAGGTAACGCAGGTAAGCACATTGATTTTTAATGTTATACCGTGTTTTTAATAAGCATCAAACCAGCAGTTAACGCTGTTAAGACATCACGTGTCTCATTCTTTGAGTGTTGCTAATCAAATCAATATACCCGAGTACATGCACTCAAGTCATTTGTAACACAACGGGTAATAATAGTACATTTAAAACTATTTACAGAGAATTAAGCAAGCAACAGCAATTATCATGCTGAAACAGACTGTTGCAATTGTGCTTCGTTGTTTCAATTTCTTCTGCCTTGGGATCTGACTCGCGCTCAAACATACAGTATGTGCTGTGCTGGGTAGATTACTCACAAATGTAGTCTGTTACTGATTCCAAGTTACATACATGACAAATTGTAATTAGTAATGTAATCCATTACATTACACATTTTAGGTTACATGATCAGACTACTTTTTGGTTACTTTTAGATTACTTTTGACCTAACTTGTTTATCACATTGATTTAAATAGGATAATCCTGTACCATATTGATATAAAAATACAAAAAGAAAAGAAAATATATTGCATTTGTTATTAAATATGCATTAAAAAGTGCATTAAACATTACATTATGTCAAGTTTTCTCAAACATGGGTTTGTGAAGGAACAGGGGATTCATAAGTGTAATGAAAAACTAACAATTAATTAAACCCTAAAAATGGCAAATTAAAATAAATAATTTTAACTTAACAACAATCAAAATAAATCCATTACTAAAAATGATGAACGTCAGCGAATCATGAACATGCAAATGTGTTACATAATTACTAACATATTACTTTACAATCTTATGGGGTACTTCAAGTATATTAAGAGAAAGTGGTTTGGCTGAAAAAAAAGCTTGAATTACATGTAAATAAGAAATCACAATGATTTTTTTTTTTTTTTTTTACAAATAGTGTACTTTTTTGAAAAAAAAAAACGTTGCATACTTTATGAACTAACCCCAAGAAACCATATACAAATCTGAAACTGCATTTCAAAACTCCTTTAAAATGAACATATTCAACACAGGTTTTTTTGTTTGTTTAGAAATATTACTTAAACAAATGAAGGAAAAGTAAATGTTATTTGGAGTCAGAATTGTAAACCAGAGCCATTTGTTTTATCATCATCTCATCAGATCTTATCTTTTAGTCAAAACTCTTACAGATCATTATATTTCAAATGGACACTTGAAACTAATTTGAGAAGATCTGAAAGAACTTAATCTCACAGAAATATATCTCAAAGCCATTTTAATTCATAGAAACATAACAATTCAAGGTTAACACTTTCTCATTACATCTCAAGAGACGACGGCGTGGCTTTCTTAAGATTTTTCTCAGCTCTTGTGTATCAATATGCAGGAGATGCTATCATACATCACAGTTTGACACCTTAAATAAATATAATTTTGAAACATAAATGTCTTTCCTTTAGGCAGTCTTTTTCCACATCGCCGCATAAAAACAAGGTATCCTCAGAATTTAACTTCTGGGAATACAGAAATACATACTGCTTATATCCAGTTTTTTATATTTGAATTCATTTATTCTCTTCTGTCCTTTTTCCCAAGTTAAGTTCAATGAGGAATTAAAATAAAGACAAAAAAAGGACTTTAGAGAATGTGCAGAGAAAGTCTTGCTTCCCTTAGGAGCCGCAACTGAAATAATCAACCTCTAGGTCCAAGCTTTTGAACAATATAACCCATAAAACTCCAGCCAAATCTCCCACGAGTCTAGGACTCGGTTGAAGTCTTTGTCTTCTGATACTGTTCCAGCTCTTTTTTCTTCTTCATGGCAAGCTGTAATTGATTTTTGATGAGCTGGATTTGTGTTTCCAGGTCCGCCAGTTCCTGTACTGTGGGGTTAAGGCCAAGCAAGTCGGTTCTTCCGTTCAATGTGGCCTGTAACGGAAGCTGTCTCTTGTCCTTTGGGGACAGGAGCTCTTTACAGTGAGAACATTCCAGGTCATTTTGTTGTCCCTCTTGATTGGACAGTTTTCGTCTGTTGCAGTTGGAGGTTCCCAAAGAGTTCCACGGCATTTGCTGGTTGTTTCCAACATTGCAGCTTAATCGAGACAATAATGATATCACAATATCAGTATATAAATAGCATTTTGGGAAGGATGCCATGTAAAGTTATAGTTGTTCCAGTAATGAAAATCATCGTTTACAACTTTGTCATGCCACATGTCATTCTTCTGTACAATACAAAAAGTGAAATCTTGACTGGTCTTTTCCATGCATATGCAACAAAACTGATCTATTTTTACGTGTGCGTTATACCAAGTGTAACATTTCCTGAGAATGACACTTTAGCACTTCATTTCAATGTTGCGTGAATGCTAGACATTATTTAAAAGCTCCGTCGTTGTGAAAGCAGTTTACCTTTTCTCCGGTTTTGCAACTGTCTGTAATTTGTCTTCTTTGAAAGTCGGGTTAAGTGCTCGATGTAATCGCTGAAAAACCAATTAAATTAAATGCTATTTAAGAAAACTAGTGTTGAGAATTACAAAGTGTGTAATGAGCAAAGCATTCCTTTAATGCTACAACATGTCACCAAGATGGCATGCAATTATTTGTAATAAAACCAGCGTGGAATTGTGCAGATGAACTTACTTGACTGGTGTGGAGCCAGTACTTATGCTGTGATGACTGCTGCATTCTGGGTATCAGCCAGCGATGGACGATGTGTTCACCCAGTGTGGTGAGGAGAGACAGGGCCACTCCAACGCACAGCATGAGAAATAACCCTGAGAAGTGCTTTATCCCCATCTGTAACGTCTGAGGATGACAACAGAAAGTCAGGGTTAGAAAAGAGGAATAGTTCAGCCATAAATGAAATTTTGGCTGAACTATACCCCATATTGTTCTAATTTTTCTGTAAGAAACACAATGGGATGTCTACATAAGTAGACATTTTTAATAGCAAACAAAGTTTAACATCATTTAATCACAAAATAGGTTGAATGATTTGTGCACTCTATTCCAAGTCTTCTATGGGGAACAAATCATAGTTCTCATTACTGAATTGAACAATCAAACAATACATTTTTGAATAAAGAAATAAAATATTACATGATTAGAATGACATGAGGGTTAGTAAATGATGACGAAAGCGAGATCTGAAAATAGAAGCAAAATGATAGAGTAATTAATAAAGTAGTTTTCATTAGAATAAAATGTTGTATTTGGATGTAAAAAAGTAGCTGTATCTAGTCTTACATGTAATATATTACAATATAATACTCTATATATACATATTACAAATAATACACTTCAAAATTTGGGTCAGTACACTCTAAAAATGCTGGGTTAAATTCAACCCAGTGCTGGGTAAATAGGGACAAACCCAGCAATTGGGTTGTATTTAACCCAGCATTTTTTAGAGTGTATGCTTTTTCCTTTATGAAAAAAAAGAGAAAAAGAAAAATAAATATAGATGATTGATAGATAGATAGATAGATAGATAGATAGATAGATAGATAGATAGATAGATAGATAGATAGATAGATAGATAGATAGATAGATCAGACTCACCTCTGTGACTGCAAAGCTTCTTTTACCACAGGGTACAACCTTATACCACTTATCATGCAGCATGTCCATAAACCCATCAGATTTGTACTGACTGACCAACTCAGAGATATTTGAAGTCAGAGGAGAGTTTTGTTTGAGCCCAATGCCATAGCCTGTGGACAGATGGGAAATGTATGTTTCATCAGCATGTGCACAGTAGTTCATTCACTCCATAACTTACTGTAGAAACAATAACAAGTGAGAAGCATTCATTTACTGGCCTTCAATCGCAAAAGGCTTTCCCACTGTCAGCGTCTTGCAGTCTGCATCAATAGACACTTCATAGTCTAAAAGAGCTTTGTCCATTATAAAAGCATCCAGCTTTTGGGGATCATCCCTGGAATAGCATCAAGCAGTTTGCTGTTATATAATGACACATGCATTTGATACATTCAGACATTTTGACTACGGCGATACAATGTAGTCACGATTAGAACTTTTAAAATTGGTATTGATGTTGAATCAGTAGAACCACTAGAACCAAATAAATACACACTCATAGAAGGGAACACAGAAAGTCCATAAGCCCAATTTACTACTAGCAGTAACATCCTTGTTTATCCTATGCAATTCAAAAAAGTATGTTATCTTGCAAAAACACATGCTAGATTGATTTAAAAGGAGAGACCTGGCTAACCTTCTTAGGAAAATATTGCAAATTTCATCTACTTCTCCTGCAATCTATTAATTCTGCCCTGCTTGAAGGAATTATACACTGTGCCAATATTCTGGAGTATGTGGTCTGATTTTAGGACTGCATCAAATCATGTCCCGAAGGTTGTGGAAACTCAAAAGAGGAGTTTCAGACTTGCAACAGAGGATATGAAAGGAGGAAAACCTCTTCTAAATTTAGTTAAGTGTGGCCTGTCGAACACTCAAGTGACATCTGGAAACTTTTGGCACTTAGTTTATTTGTTTTTATGTCATTTCTACAATTAAGTAAGTTCTATTTTTTTTCTTTTGGTCCCTAACTTCTGAGAAATAAACAAAAACACAATAACAAGAAACATAGAAATAATACAGCTTAAAGAAATGTCTTTTTCAAATATAGCCTTAATATATTTCATTTAAACATTATACATATATTACAAAATTAAATATATAATAACAAAGTATATTTAGAAAATGCTAAATGTATTTAATATATTTTGGACAACAAATATATTTAGATTGAAAATAAATGAGCAAATATAAGTCAAACTTATTAAAGTTATTACTTATTTTTAAACATCTAAGATTTTAAAATGTTTTAAAAATATATACTGTATATGAAAATATTTTTGCCATATGGATTGCTTGATATTTAAAATACTTTGCATTTAGTCAGATCATTCAATATGTATGAATATATGTTTTGCATGTATTGTTCAGACCATTCCAGCAATGCATGTGAGTCAGATCATGCAGTGAGTAGCAATAAGTGTTTTGCATGTAAAATATCTGCTTTGCAGCCACCCAGATCATGCAATGAGTAGGAAAGTGTCTTTTCAACACAGTCCAAACATTAGTCAAACAAGTCAATTAATTCCTAGTCTTGTACAGTGGAACCACATGGATTCGTATGACACTGCAAGAAGGCACAAGCCATCAAAGAAGGACATGGTAGAGGGCATCCAGTAAATTAGTGCTGCTTCAGTGATCAATGCCACTTTGCAATTACGATTACGACTTACTTAAGATGATCTATCCCATCAGGGGTTGCAGGGACATTATATCGTCTCATGTATTCATGCATCTCTGGGAAGCTTTTTTTCACGTAGTCCTCAGCGCTGCTCTCCCGGACGGTTCCAAAGCGGAAACCTTGTGAGGGATGGTGGAGCTTGAAAAGGCAAGAGGACCGTTTTCATCAACCAGGAAGTGTATTTTTAACCTCTAAGCCTGCCAGTCATTTTGACATAATTTGAAAATGATAAACACAAGTTACTCTTACCTTGGGATCATGTATACCTGAGAGTTGCTCGTAGGTTTTCTCACCAACCATTACAGCGGCGAGATTAGCCGTGTACGTTGAAAGGCAGAACAAACAGAATATGGCCCAGAGGTTCATGAGGAATCTGCCGGTCCAACACTTTGGTGGCTTAATGGCGGCAGTCCTGCCGAATAGAATTGCGTAGCAAACGTTTAGCGCAGAGGAGAAAGAAAATACACGTTCCCTGTTCCTTCCCCTCGGAGTCATGCCGAAAGGGCTTTTCCACTCATACAAGGTCAAGAACACGGCCGTCACGTGTAAAGACACAAATATTCCCAGCCACATACTCCAGTGCAGGGGCCACATGAAGGCGCCGATAGGTGCGGCCGTATCCCTAGTCCTGACGAGGATTCCCAGACTGGTGGAGAAAAATGGGCTGGTGAAGTCAATGACCTGACTGCGTGCTGAGTTGATGCTAAAGGAAGTGACAGCCAGATGTGCCGCCCCGCTCATGAGGTCCCCGACCAGCCCTGTCCAGCGACCGTTCTTGTAAGCTCCATATTTCCCGTCTCCCACAATGTAGAGGTTGAAGTGAAACCCCATGTCCTCTGCTAGCTTCTCTAAAAGATCAATGCAATATCCATAGCAACATTTTTTAAACTCCATGGGGACGCTGTCGTTGGCACCTTGTAGACTCTGAAAAAGACTTTCCAAAAAGGCTGTGTCATTTGTTAGGGGGTCAAGGCACAGCTGGCCAGCCGGGCACAGGCCTTCTTCATCGACGTCTCGGGTGAAGACAAACGGATGTTCTACCAGGGTGACAGCCCGCAAGTGTAGACGTGAGGAATGCCGCCAGTCCGCTCCTGGCTGAGACTGTCTCTTATTAGGCCAGACACCGTAATCCATAACCACTTTGCTTTGCTTCCAGCTGCCGAGACGCGTCCACATGGGCTTGCCTACTGGGTCATGCTGGAGATTCCAGATGAAATGATGGCTTTCAGAGACGATGATAGATTCCTCTTGAATATTGACATAGCCGCTCAGGCCGTCAAAAGACGTGTTTGCCATGTATCTAAAAATTAAGACAAAATCATATATCAGTCCAAACCATAGAAGTTCATCCAATCTAATTCTGACAAATGCAATGTCAAACCAAAATTAACCTGGTTTACTTTTATAACTAAATTTCTCTGATCTAAAGGTCCGCTCCCACCAAGGACATTAACTATAAAATTTGAATAATCGTTCAAATTCTTTGACAATAGAGAAGTATCAACACAGATGAATGGTACCATCCAGTTTCAGAACAAGTTAATAGAAGTTAAATGTGCGTGTGATTGCCTTGTCATTTTGTCTTTAAAGTCCACATGAAATCAAAATTGACTAGCGCACATTGCTAGTCTTGAAGTTAATCCACTAAAGAAAAAAAATAGTTTGTCTTACTAATCTTTCTGCTCTGGAATGGCATTCCTTCTCTGATGATGTTAGTTTGATGGCCTAGGCGGAATATTACTTTTAGTCTATTAGTCTTGTATTTTTCTCTCTTCAATTTAGTTTTTTCACTTTTTTCTGCAGTGGTGAAGCTAACGGTAACCATTTTAAATCAGTAATGGTAGGAGAGCATGTGAAATTTAAACCCTGAGGTAGTTTGGTTGGAACTTGGTGAAGTTGTTTCCTGACAGTGCAGTGCTGGAGAAACCACTCTTGATATGCTGTGTCTCTAGGCGTCTGCCACCAGCCTAACACCTGCTTTTCACAGAACTGATTGCAGCCTTTTCTTGTGGGAATGTTTTCAAACAACTGTTTGCTTTTTGCTAAATTCTGTTGACATATACAGAAAAAGCTCCTCTTGACTGTGGATGAAAAGGATACTCCTCATAAAATATGCAGAATAAATATGCACAATAAATAATTGTTCTTATAGGGATACTCCACCCCAAAATGAAAACGTTGTCATTAATCCCTTACCCCATGTCGTTGCAAACCCGTAAAAGCTTTGTTCATCTTCAGAACACAATTTAAGAAATTTTGGATGAAAACCGGGAGGCTTGTGACTGTCCCATTGACTGCCAAGTAAATAACACTGTCAAGGTCCAGAAACGTATGAAAGACATCGTCAAAATAGCCCATCTACTTTTTGTATGCGAAGAAAACAAAAATAACGACTTTATTCAACAATTCGTCTCCTCTGTGTCTCTCCGCATCACCGTAGCGCCATTTTGGAGAATGTTCACTGAACCAAGCAGCGTACGCTCTTCTGTTTCAGCTGCGACACAAGTATACGTTTTCTACGTGTATTTATGCTTTGATTTAAACGAAAACAGTGCATCCATGTGGTGCAGCTGACACAGAAGAGCGTACGCTGCTTGCCTTCAGCGGATCTTCTCCAAAATGGCGCTATGGAGATGCGGAGAGACACAGAGGAGACGAATTGTTGAATAAAGTCGTTATTTTTGTTTTCTTCGCATACAAAAATTATTCTTGTCACTTCATAAAATTCAGGTTGAACCACTGACGGCAGATGGACTATTCTGACAATGTCTTTCATACTTTTCTGGACCTTGACAGTGTAATTTACTTGGCAGTCAATGGGACAGTCACAAGTCTCCCGGTTTTCATCCAAAATTTCTTAAATTGTGTTCCGAAGACGAACGAAGCTTTTACGGGTTTGGAACGACATGGGGGTAAGTGATTAATGACAAAATTTTCATTTTGGGGTGGAGTATCCCTTTAACTCTTTCTCGACCATTGACAGAATTTTCACTGGTATACGGTAGGAGGTACGGATGGGCATTTTTCAAAAAATATAGTATTTGGGCTCATGACAAAAAAAAAGATGTTTAATGAGAAATAAGTTATTTTTTAATAGTCAAGCTTTTGTCACCATTTCTGAACAAGTTTATGATTAGGCATTAGACACAACAATGTTCTACAACAACGTAACGTTATATCTCAAGGTTTCCTTTTAGCTAAAACGTGTAAACAAAATATATACTCAGTTTCACTGATTTATTTGATCAAAATGTATTTAATTTTATAAGCTCATTTAGTAAGATAGTTTTAATCAAAGTAATTCCAAACTTCGTGAGGCGGACGACGACATTCGTTGTGATTTTTTTATTTTTTGAATAATAATTACAGATCGAATATTCAAATATATTTGACTATTTGTGCACACCCCTAGTAGGAGGCGCCATTACACATTTTCTTAAAGAGTACTGAATCTCTGGATCAAAATATGGTGAAGAAGAAGCAGAAACAAGCAATCACATATGTAAGCAGATGCATATCTAAAATAGCGAGAGCATCAAGCATTAAACAGCATACAAATCAAAACTGCCTAACGTTACCGAATGAAATGTCGATCTAGGAAGTGGTTTAGGACCATGCAAGATTTGGGGGTGTTGATGAGAATGATCTACTCCATCTATGTTTTGATCATCGTTCTGAATCTGATTCGGACATAGTCTTTGACAAAAACGCAATTTTTTTCAGCTTTTTGCTCAAAATTGTGCTTTTTTTTAATGAAAGCCACCCACACTGAAGTGTTGATAAAATGCTGGCGGTGAATGGCAACTTTAAAAAAAAAAAATGCATGTGATGCCACATAAACAACATAAATATTATGAAATATCAAGCAGTGTGTCAAATAAAATACCTGGACAGAAAGGTTCCTGATGTGATATTTTTAGTCTCAAGTCTTGCCAGACAGTTTGTGATGCCAGGAATCAGCGCCAACTCTGAGACACAGTGACAAGCCGATCCCACCGCTCGTCTTTTAATACACGCAGATTACCTTTTTAGGCCATTTAGTATTTTTAAGACTGTATGTCAAGTTAAAACTTTTAAAAACACATCTCAAGAACTCGTTATATTCTAGCTGTTTTTGAAAAAAAAAGAAAAGAAAAAAAAAACACGACAGAAACATGAGCTTGGGCTCAGGTATGTCTAAAACCAGCCTAATTATACAGTGCTTCTTTAAGACAGATTGGTCAACTACTCTTTCAGGCAATTCTCCATCTAGTTGATTTTACACATCTCTTCCTGTCTGCCAAATAGAGGGAAGGCGAGAGTTTTAAGCCCTACAGATATTTATCGTAATGCATGATTTGTTGGACAGTCTCCTTCTGTTTGCAGATTGAATTTCTGAAGCAGAATCTCCTCCGAGAAAAAACAAACAAACAAACAAACATTAAGATTTCCAACATGATGTCCAAGTGTGCAATTCTTTGCTTCTGAAAACAATTACTTTAAGCACTCGCTGGTTCCATTTGTGATGCACCTAGAGGGGCAGCATTTCAAACTAGTTTAAAACATTTGAAAGTTGATAAATGACCAGGAGCAGTGTTGCCAAGTCTGTGGTTTTCCTGCAGAATTTGGCTATTTTTATACTGTTGCCACTGCTTGATTTTTTTTTAGTCCATGTGAAACTCTGCCTGGAACACGATTTTGGAGAATTTTTGATAGCCGTTTCCCCCCGGAACACAATTGGGCTGGTTTTAAAGACCTGGAAACCCTGAGCAGGAGTCAAAAGTGCTGATTAACTCTATTGAGTCTCAGGCATTCCCATCAAAATATAGACGTAGAGTATTTCAGATATGGAAACGTTGCCCACTTAGGACATCCAGAAACATTAATTACGTGAGGTCTGGGATCTCAATGTTTTAATGATATAATACCCATTAATTAAATGGCATTGTCCTGCTAAGGAAATCAAGACCTTAACAGACACTGCCAGATGAAATGTTTATCTGAGCCATTTAATTTCCCCTGGGGCTGCAATTATGCGATGGCAGAAAACAGGCTAATCAGAATTGATTAAGGAAAAGCTTTACAGGGATTTATTTCAAGATGTCTAAACAAAGTCTGACTTATTTTCTGTAGGGTTGTCATGAAATCTAATTGGCCAAACCAGTGGGAGAGTAACAAGTACCACTAACAAGTTAAGAAGAGACACTTAGAGGTTTTTGAGTGTATATGTCATCCGAAGTATGTTTTATCTTAAGGGAGCTTGTGTCATTAAGATACAGTAAATATACTATATAGTAAATATGTATTGTGTTTATATGGTGCCTTGGTGATCAATTATAGTGTCCTGTATTCCATGTTATTAACAATGTAGTCAACAATTCATTAAACTATTAACTCCGAAATGAACAGTTCCACTGTACTTGAACTGAAAATAAATAAATAAATAAACAAGTAAATACATGAATAAATAAATAAATACATGAATGAATAAACACATGCATAAATAAATAAATAAATAAATACACAAATAGATAAATAAATACATAAATACATTAATAAATAAATAAATAAATACATGAATAATTAAACAAATAGATAAATAAATAAATGATTTTGCCTTTGGGCTGTTTTGCTGCTCATGTTTTAATAAACATTCATTCATTCATTAAGAAAGAAAGCAGTAAAGAATTCAATAAACCAGAAATCAGTAAAGCTCAGTAATGAGCACACTGAGAGACTGATTGCTATTTGGACAGATAACAGACACTGATTCTGAGCTCACAGAGAAATCTGATAAATCTTAGATGATCCATGTAAACAAAGAACTGACCAGAAGATGGTGCTAACTTCAAAAGCTCAGATATCAAACAGCTCAGCCCTCAGGGTGTTCAGAAAAACACATTTTTAACGCAAACAGCTAGATGTGTCACCATCTAAAGAGATGTTTTATTTGTGGTTTAGACTGATCCAGCAGGTGTCATAACAAACGTATTAGTTTCAAGAAAACAGTTGTACTAATAAATAGCAGCACTGATTTATGCACTAAATACGAGACAGGTACTTTTAAAAATAAAGCTACCAAAAGGAGGTTTGTGCAGTGATCAAAGAACATGGGTCCGTTCTTAAAAGAACCTTTTTATTTAATAATAATAATAATCCGAAGAACCTTCTTCCACTATAAAGAACCAAGGGAAAACACACATTTATTAGAGAAGCAGCAGGTTGCACCAAAGCTTTGAATCACCGAGTGCCGTCATGCATTCATTCTCTGTCTGTAGTGTATTGTTTATAATCCAAAAAACCTTAATAACAACTTGTTGATCATTCATTCATAATTCCAATCCGATTCCTCATTTCCAAACATGTGTCCTCTAATTGTACTTGTGTATTGCGCAGTCCCTCAACATTTACATTTCTAAATGAAAGACACTGAGCTCTCCAGAAACTATACAGTATGCAGCTGCAGACCAGAACTGCCTCAGTGCTATAAATGTAAACATTAATATAATATATTTTATGAAAATAAACAGAAATGGAAGACAGTTTACAGTTCATTTTGGAATAGATGCCAATAAAGAACCTATATTTTTAAGAATGTGGGATAAAACAACTTCATCCTGTCATTAGTTTTGACAAATGTAATTTACTTATTGGTTTATAAAAATCATACTTCACTATGACTCCCTCTCCCCTAATGCTATCAGTCTGCAATTTAAAAAAATATAATCCTATAACGTAACGAACTTATAAAATGCAGAAATATTAAATGTATTTATGTGTCTATTTGTACATGCTATTTTCATGTTCATTTTAAAAAGACAAACATTTTACAGCTATGCTATTTAGTTATATAATTATGTTTGTTAAAATGATTTTGACTCATGATGGTGACAATTCAATTTTGGGTGCTGATATTCAGTTTAAAATCATTCCATATGCTCAGCTCATTCTTAATTTAAGATATGCCAATAGTTGTAATATGTATTTGACAAACATATATTTTGTTCTATCTGACATGCATATGAAGTGATCACAAGGGAAAACGCATTTATTTGTGAAGCAGCAGGTTGCACCAAAGCTTTGAATCACTGAGTGTCATCATGCATTCATTCTCTGTCTGTAGTGTATTGTTTCTAATCCAAAAACCTTAATAACTACTAACATAGTTGATCATTGATTCATAATTCCAATCCATTTCCTCAGTTCCAAACATTTCAACATGTGTCCTCTAATTGTACTTGTGTATTGCGCAGTCCTTCAACATTTACATTTCTAAACGAAAGAAACTGAGCTCTCCAGAAACTATACAGTGTGCAGTTGCAAACCAGAATTGCTTCAGAGCTATAAATCTAAATGTTTTTTTTAATGAAAATAAACACACCTGACTCTGACGCTTAAATTCGTTCTGGACGACGCTGATGATTGGAATCTGTAGCGTTGTGGCGATAAATTCCAACTTCACCAGTTCGTCCCTGTTCTGTGGGAACGCGATGATGGCAGAAACTCCTTGCACGATCACGGTGTGGCAAACGCTTTGCAGGAACGATGCGGGATCGCCACAGGCAGGTGCAGATGAGGAGGAAAAGGAGAAAGCAGGTAATTCTCCAAGTCCTGCTTCCACGGCCATGACTATCTCAAGGGTGAGGTTGTAGGGTAAAAGCCCTGCTACTCGATTGAGGCTCTCTGTAGCGAGTAGAACAGAGTCTCGAGGTAGAAACACAGCATCCAGACCCACTTGTTTGAGTGTGGTTTTACTTTTGGAGGCCTTGTGGGGGTTATTCGCTGAGCTTTTAGTCCTGATACCCCTCCAGCCTTGTTCGAGCCTACTTTTGGTGATCGCGTCACACTCTCCCCACGTTTCTCTGTCTGCATCCCAGTCCGGATCTCTCCCCCTGAGGGAATCCTGTCTGAACACTCGAGGCTGCAGGTGCAGAGCTCCGACTCTCACCGTGTGTCCGATCCTCTTCAGAATCTGACATGGCTGTGGATGCGCCAGAGATGCTGGGGGAACAAGGATCATTATCAGAGCGCTTGGCGCAAGTAAGGAGAGCCACACCAACTTGCCCAGCGCACCCCAGATCCAAGAGCCCGGCATCACTCCAAACAAGCCTCGGTCAAACGACGGGATCCGCGTCCACCTGCGCGCCCGCTGGTTCCTGCACAGCGCTGGATAGATGATGGATCACCGGTGAATCTCCTAGACGCAGCAAAGTTGCGCTCCTCTCCAACGGGCTTCTGAGGGATCGCCAGCAGTGCACATGTCCAACGCGGCTCGAAACACTCGTTGCTCATCTCAAAAGCGTTAATGGACAAAATATTCAAGAGGGTGTTGTTTTTACGCGCTCTCCAAAACAGGTGCAAAGGCAGCTACTAAAATGCAAAGTGACTGTACAAACCCAAAAGCACTTATATGCTCCAGATCAACGTAAAGGAAGTCCAAGGATATGAAACACATTCAAATTTCATTTATCTTTATTTTTGCATGCAAGCCTGTATTCTATCCTGAATTTGATCATGAAAAACCCTGACGGATCTCCAACAATGTAGATCATTTATTCGCAAAAACAGAAACGAGCGTTTAAATGGCTTATATTACGGTTTAAACATGTTGCGCAGTGAAACTGTTCCGATAAACTCCCAGAATGGCACTGGAATAGTGCAGATTATTGCACTGGCTGTGCTGTGCGTTTAACCCGTTCACTGCTGCACTCACACCTTTGCTATTGATGGATTTAGATTTTAGATTTTTGCATAAAATATGCGTTTTATTTGCATAATATTTTTAATTATATAAAACAGACTGCTAGCTTATATGCTCCAGATCAACGTAAAGGAAGTCCAAGGATATGAAACACATTCAAATTTAATTTATCTTTATTTTTGAATGCAAGCCTGTATTCTATCCTGAATTTGATCATGAAAAACCCTGACGGATCTCCAACAATGTAGATCATTTATTCGCAAAAACAGAAACGAGCGTTTAAATGGCTTATATTACGGTTTAAACATGTTGCGCTGTGAAACTGTTCCGATAAACTCCCAGAATGGCACTGGAATAGTGCAGATTATTGCACTGGCTGTGCTGTGCGTTTAACCCGTTCACTGCTGCACTCACACCTTTGCTATTGATGGATTTAGATTTTAGATTTTTGCATAAAATATGCGTTTTATTTGCATAATATTTTTAATTATATAAAACAGACTGCTACCATGTATATATATATATATCTTAAAGAGAGATAAACAAACAAATAACAAAATAACTCTATACTCAGCTTTGTTATCATGCTGAGATCCATTTGATTCAATTAGATTTGATCTGCATAGCACTTTTCACAACATAAATCAGATTTAAGTAGAATTTCGCAACACTGAGCAAGCAAAAGGCAACAGTGTGTCAAGGAAAGCAGATGTTGTTTACGCTCATGCTGACAAAATATGTAGTATCTCCAATTATCCTTTGATACATTCACAACACTTTATCTGTGATACCAGCCACACCAATTTGGATGAAAATAATTCTGATTGGTCAGGAAGTCTGCCTCACCCTTTAATGAGCAGCAGCACAGTCATTCTATCACTGACGCAATCCTGACTTACAGCGGGAGAGGTTGGATAAGAGGAGGGGCGTGACACCAGAACAGTGCTGTCGGTGAGTGATGAACAAGAAAAATCTGATGGCTGTTGTACCACATCACGACTGCCATAAATCTCACACATCATTCTTTTGTTGAGAATATGCAGCCAGAGCACCGGTTGTCCCCTGAGGTCCAGGTGTGTCATAGCTTAAATGGGTTAAACAGATGACCTGATAACTTGACCTTCCAACTTGATCTCATTAGAGTTGAAAGGTATTCATATGCAAAGTGTTCTAGAACATAGTTTATAGTAAAACATGTAATTTGACATTATTACAATATGTACTTTTTAAAAGTGAAGTTAAACTGACATGAAAGTGTCTCTCTTAATGTACACTTAAGTGACCTTTTATTTAATTAATATTATATTATCTGCAAGTTCACTAAAAATATAATTGAAAGTTTTGAGGAACAATACAAGTGCACATTCAATACAATTAAGTACACTTCTTTTTCACAAGGGCTCACAAAGTTTATGGCTCCATTTTCAGCAAGTCTTGGAAGGAAGGCAATAAATAGAGGATTCAAAAACACTGGGACTATATTTGTATAAACAGTATATGTACAATCGGGCATGAGTAAGTTAATCATGGCCATGTTGTACTAAAACGTTCCTTCATTTGAATTAAATCAAAAAGAGAGAAAGTCTTAGTATAACGTGACCACTATTTACTTAAATGACAGAACTAATTCTTAATTCATGGCCATGATAAATATTTTTTTGTCTGTCATGTGTGGGGCTCCATGAAGCAGTGCACTTTTGCCTTTTACCAATTGACCAGTGTGTCTAATTTTTTAGTTTTTCATGAAAAATAAACAGTTATGCTGTCTTCCGTGCATAAAAATGCTGTGCAATCATGTTAAATTTTGCTTGCTTAATTATAAAAATTAATTTTTATACTGTTTATTGCATGCCACCCTCAAAAAAAAAAAAACCTATGGTGCGTGATGCCCCCGCAAAAAAGATCACCCTGATCACCAGACGTAAGATCACCCTGTGTATCTGGATATATTGTCTTTCTTGCATGCAGAACTGGATCATGGTCCTTTGAGGGTCTTGGCCATGTCTTAGAACCGCTGCCAACTTCCTTTGTTCCCTTCTCTTTTCTTCTCTACCCATACCCTCCCTTCCAGCAGCCTGCCACTCACATGAGATCACAACAATTAGCAAGCAGGCAATTTAATCAATTCTGATGAACAAAACCAAGTCCTTATCTATTTTTCAGAATTCAAGAAGGATAATTTGCCACAATAGGGAAGAAAATACATTCGCAATGTTTGTTTCATGGCTGAAATATATAAATAAATAAATACTGAAAAGTATGTTTGGATGTTCAAATATGTTTTTTTCCCTCTAATATAAAAAAAAGATATTTGATAATACATTTTTATTTATTTTTAAATAATTTTTTTATAGTTTTTTTTTTTTTTTTTAACAAAGAACCACACCGAATGGCTAGATCATACATTAATATTTTACAATTATAATATTTTACAATTATAATATATAAAATTAAATTTTTACAACCATAGTGAAAAAATGTGAAAAACCATAGTGCACGCGCTGAGGCAGGGGTTTTCAAACATGTCCTGGTGGACCAACAACATTGCACATTTTGTACTCTATGTCTCCCTTATGTCCTGGGGGTCCTGCGCTGCGCTGAGAGACCCGGGTCTTAGTGGTTAGCTTAAACTTTAATGCACTGAGGGCTTCCTTTGGCAGTCTTTAGTCATGCAGACTGAGGTTTTGGAGACTCTTGGCAGTCAGAAGCCCGAGTCCCTGCTCATCTGGTCTACAATCCAGCACCGATATAAGGCTTTTCCAACATGGACACAGATCATCTCCTTTATTTGACATTTTTGTTAATGAAATTCCATATTTCCAGTCTAAATCAAATGACTTGTCATTCAGATAAATGGCAGTGAGATGTAACTAAAGGAAGGATGATATCTATAAATCACTAATTATTATTGATTCAAAACAAGTGTGGAATTAATTAACGACATCCTGGTAATTACCCCAGCATGAAATCTACCATATAGAGGGCATTGAACTTGAGCATCATGAGAGAGGTGGACTTTCAATGATGACTCTTTGACCCTTCATTGATAAGCCACTGCAATAAATCTCATCTTCTCATTCCCCTTCTATCAGACTTAATTATAAGAGGGGACCCAAACAGCAGGCATGACTGGTTGCATCATCAACTTCTAATGCCGTGCTGATGCTTAATGCAGGCCATGAGAAAATACCATTGTGACCTGTTTCTACGGCATAGTAGGGATTCTAAACTAGTGGATCACAGACACGGTTGAAAAAACAATTACAAATGAAAATAAATAAAATGTTTACAACCCGATTTCATGGGAAAACATTTAACTATGACTCTGCCTACATTTTTACACTGCAGTTTCCAGGTGAAATTAACACTAAAGTAAAACATCCACAGATTGTATTTTTATTTTTATGATTACGAGGCAGATTATCAATGAATAGAGGCTTGGATTTCATGTGATTCCTTGAACAATACAGTCTTTTGACCTCAAAACACTTTTACCCAACCCAGGCTCATTGGAAATATGAGCTTGTGGTGACGTTTTGGCAACACCGCTATTACGTACTTTACTGCACATTTTGTGGCAGTTTCAAAGTGAAATGTCCAGTGAGTGGCACTAAAACGCACATTCAATACGTGACCATGGCCATGTTTTTATGATGTTGCTTCAGGAACATATTGCTGTTGTTCAGAATTCAAATGTGAAAGTGAAAAAAGTGACGTGACATGTGGCCAAGTATGGTTACCCATACTAGGAATTAGTGCTCTGCGTTTAACGCATCCTAAGTGCACACACACACAGCAGTGAACACACACACCGTGAACACACATCCGGAGCAGTGGGCAGCCATTTATGCTGCGGCGCCCGGGGAGCAGTTGGGGGTTTGGTGCCTTGCTCAAGGGCACCTCAGTGTAACCTTTGGGTTACGAGTCCGACTCTCTAACCATTAGGCCACGACTTCCCCAAATGTTTAGGTTAATGCTCTATTGTGTTGGAAAATAACAAACCCTCTACACCAAACCAACCCTAAAACTACCCAATTGTGTTAACGAAAGCAAAAGTGATATAAAAACGCATTCGCTTGTGCAATCATGCTGTTTTAACATCCTTCTATGTAAGTTTGAGCTGTTTTGTTGAACTGTAGTTTCACAGGATTCGTACCGTAGCGCTTCACTTCGCAAGTGCAACGCCATATCGCGTGAGCTACCGAGGAAACCTACTACGTCAGAAACCCCATACATATGAAGCTGGATATGTGATGCCAACATTCAAAAGTATCAGTTTTCAAATCTCACAGCATGTTAAAATGGTTTTGAAGTCATAACATAATATTGTGTAAGGAACTGTGTGAAAATTAGGCTTTCTAAATCAAAACTCTGCCATGAGTCATCATTTGTTT